ATATAATTTCCTGGATATAAATTTAGCAAGTTTTAGCTATAGATAAGCTTAAGAATACTTTTTGGACTGGGTGTTGGTGGTGCCTGCCTTTAATCCCAGCGCTCGGGAGGCAGAGGCAGGTGGATCTCTGTGAGTTCAAGACCAGCGTGGTCTACAAGAGGACAGCCTCCAAAGCCACAGAGAAACCCTGCCTCTAAAAACAACAACAAAAAGAATAATTTTTGGTCAGTTAATTATTTAAAAACATCCTTCCTAATGAAAATACTCCAAGCTTTTATTACCACTGTGTGACAGTGTATTTCCAAACTTATCAAATGTGTCAACAAATAATTGTAGAGGTACATCAGAACTCTCTGGCTTCACTTGAGTTGAAATGCATCAGGACTTTTTTGTACCACACCAAATGTACTTCACACATCAATTAAGAACAATCAGTCTTTCTAAAATAGCCATTCTGATAGCCAAAGTGAACCTTCCCTTGTGTTGAGCACTGTTTTCCAGTTACCAGAGTGTTGTTGCTTGGATATAGATACTTATATTCCAAAATAGTGTAGCCTGTCTCACCACCCTGTTCCCTGTGATGAAAAGCAAAGTGCATCCACTCTTCACAGGCAGCTGAATTTCAGGCACAATAAGAACAAAAGGCTCCTCATTTGCTCACTGTTTGCAAGGGCTCAGAGTTATTAATACTCTACCCCCAGCTCACATATTCCAGTACAGCAATGCAAAACTCATGGGGTTTCAGTCAGTTACACCTCTGTTTTTATTAGAAAGAAAATTATTTTACATGTCAATCCCAGGCCCCTCTCCCTCCTCTCCTTCTCTGCCCCCCCCAACTAATGCCCTACCCATCCCATACCCTTTCTGCGCCCCAGGAAGGGTGAGGCCTTACATAAGGGGTCTTCAAAGTTTGTCATATTCTTTGGGATAGGGCCTAGGCCAACCCCCTTGTGTCTAGGCTCAGGAGTATCCCTCCATGTGGGATGGGCTCCTAAAGGCCATTCCTATGGTAGCGATAAATACTGATTCACTACAAGAGGCCCCATAGATTTCCAAGGTCTCCTCACTGACACCCACATTCAGGGGGTCTGGGTCAGTAGTCCCATGCTGGTTTCCCAGCTATCAGTCTGGGGACCAAGAGTTTTCCCTTGTTCAGGTCAGCTGTTTCTGTGGGTTTCACCCGCCTGGGATAGACGCCTTTGCTCATCAGTCCTCCTTTTCTGCATCTGGATTTCAGTTCAGTTCAAGGTTTAGCTGTGGGTGTCTGCTTCTACTTCCACCAGCTGTTGGATGAAGGCTATACAATGGCGTATGAATTAGTCATCAATCTCATTATCAGGAGAAGGCATTTAAGTTAGCCTCTCTTCTGTTGCTTAGATTGTTAATTGGTGTCATCGTTGTAGCCCTCCAGACATTTCCCTAGTGCCTGATTTCTCTTTGAACTTATAATGTCTCCCTCTATTATATTATCTCTTATCTTGCTCTCTTCTGTTCTTCCCCCAACTCAACCTCCCTGTCCCATCATGTCATCCTCACCCCTCCTCTTCTTCCCTCCTCATTCTCCTAGTTCCCTCTCCCCTCCCCCCATGCTCCCAATTTGCTCCTTCTAGTTCCATCCATTTACCTGCGAATTTCAAGATGCCATTGCCTTTTTATCTTCCACTGAGTAGTACTCCATTGTGTAAATGTACCACATTTTCTCTA